AAGTTGGAGAAGGCTCTTTATGGGTTAAAGAAAACTCCTCAGAATTGGTATTCTAAACTTCGTACTTTTCTTCTTAGCATTGGTTTTATTGGAACTCAGGGTGATGCATCTCTTTTTGTTGGCTAGGATGGTGATTGGTGTCTTTTTGTTCTTGTTTATGTTGACGATATTGTTATCACTTGAAGTGATGATACTTTGATTGAAGAGGTTGTGCCTATGTTGGGGTTACAATATTCAATAAAAGATCTTGGCGAATTAGCATTTTTTTCTTGAGCTTGAAGTTGAGTGTTATAATGGCACCTTGTTGTTAAGTCAACATAAATATATTTGTGAATTGTTAGAATGCGTGAATATGGTTGATGCTCATTCGGCACCTACTCTGATGCTTTCTATGCCTAAGCTTACTAGTGATGGTGATTGTCCTTTTGATGATCTGCAGTGTTGTCATAGTGTGGTGGGTGGTTTGCTTTATCTAAGTCACAGTAGACCTGATATTTTCTACAGTGTTGTGGCACAATATATGCATATACCTTATGAAATATATTGGTTGGCTGTCAAAAGAATTTTGCGACTTATCTGCTACTTTAGACTATGGTTTGGTGTTTCGGGCTTCTACGAGTGCCACTATGATTCATGCTTTTTCTGATGCGGATTGTGCTAGTAATGCTAATTATAGAAGATTTCTTTCTGGCTATTGTATTTATCCTGGTAACAATCTTGTCTCTTGGTGTTCTCGAAAAGAAAAATCTATCGTTCCACAACAGAAGCGGAATATCATGGAATAGTTTATTGGTTTACGAGATTATGTGGTTGCAATCGTTGCTTTCTAATATGGTGATCGACAACACGAGTGTTGTAGCTACGAGTGTCAATCTTGTGTTTCATGCACATTTGAAACATATTTAGCTTGACGTTCATGTTTTTTGGGAGAAGGTGGCTAGCGATATCATGTGTATCAATTATATTCCAGGTCAATACCAAGCAGGGTTGGAACCTGGATTTCAACTTGATGGGAAAATTATAACTTTTCTAAAATTGGGGTCAATTTCATAATTATTCCATAAATTTTAAAATTTTATATATAAATTAAAGGATAAAAAACAAATTTTTGGTAGGGTTGTCGTGGTGGGGGGGCACAGTCCCTCCCAAGTCCTTAGTGGCTTTGTCCCTGATACCAAGTAGCAGATGGGTTTACCAAGTCACTCTCGAATGCTTCCTTTCCAACGTTTCGGCAACAACTCAATGTTGGTTTTGGCGATTTTGAAGTTTGACAAATCACGGAGAATATTAGCATGTGTTATGCATAGTATGTAAAGTCTCATACATGCTATATTACATGACATGTATTAGTGTGTTCTATAAGTGTGAGCTCATGCAAAAGACGTGAAGGGGTTGTTAGGTGGTTACAGTTACAACTGGATTGGTTAGTAGGGGCTGATATAAAAAGCCTATATATGATGATGTATTGAATGATTGACATACCTTTTGATGAATATTAAAAATGTATAAGAATGAAGGGAAGTCAAAAACCAACATAGAGGACCGCTATTTAAATCCATGATCGTTACCTGTTGAGAGAATGAGTGATGCAGCTCGTGTGAGAGTGCATGTGTATGGTGCAGTGTCATGCAGCTCATGTATAGCTCATGCATATCAGAAGTTAGAGAAGTTATAGAAGCTGGATTGTTATGAGTTTGTTAGTCAGTTATAGGGAGTTGTTGCATTGCTGTATAAAACAGTAATATTGCAAACTGTAAAGGTATTCAAGCTATTCAATCAAGAAAGCATTTCTACGTTTCTTCTTTTCTGCTGTATTTCAATATGGTATCATTCGCTTTTGGTCCTGGAGATCTCTGCTGAAGCTGCGATGGCTCTCTTTGGTGATTCATCCTCCTCATCAGCTCGTATGTTTACCAACAAACGGGTAAACATGGTGCTCGATGAGATGAACTTCCTTCTATGGAAGCAGCTAGTGTTTCTTACAGTTCGTAGCTGGTGTTACTTACAGTTCGTAGCCACAGCCCCTCCGCAGACGATCATTGATGCAAACGGTGAAACTGTCACTAATGAAGCCTATGAAGACTTCATAGCTCAAGACAGTGCCCTTGCATCATGGCTCTTATCCACGATCAGTGCCCCATTATTTCCGTAATTCGTTCGTGATGAGTCAGCCGCTGCTGTGTGGAACACGGTTCTACAGTTATTTTGCCAATCAATCCACCACCACGGTCATGAATCTACACTATAAGCTTCAGTCCATGAAAAAAGGCGATGACTCTATGCGAGTTTATCTCACTCGAGTTAAGGAAATTTGTGACTTGCTTGCGTCTTGTGGAAGCCCGGTGTCTCAAGTTGAGCACATCGTGAGCATTCTTAAAGGACTGTCGCGTGAATACCAGTCGTTCATGGCAGTCATCACTACTACATGCGAGACTCTGTCCTTGGATCAGATTTACTCCATGCTGTTGATTCTTAGTCAAAAATAGTATATTCTAGAGTTGCTTGAAAAGAGAAAATGACTAAGGCCTCGTGTACCTCTACTCCTATGGTTGCATCCTCGCAGTTGAAGAAAGATGATGGGCAGCTGTTGGTTGATGCACGTGAATTTCGAAGCCTCGTAAGAGGGTTGCTCTACGTATGTCACACTAGACCCGACATTGCTTTTAGTGTGAACAAAGTGGCACAGTATATGCATGCACCAAGAGAACAACATTTGCTTGTTGCTAAACGTATTATGCGTTATTTAGCTGGAACGTTGGACTATAGACTGGGTTTTGTGCCAGGCAAGCTGTATATATCAGCTTTCTCGGATGCTGATTGGGGTGGATGTGCAGATGATAGACAGTCGATGTCGGGCTATTGTGTTTTCATTGGAGAAAGCTTGGTGACTTGGAGTGCTAAAAAGCAGAAGGTGGTGTCACGTTCAACCATGGAAGCTGAATACATAAGCCTTGTAGACACAGCAGCTGAAGTAGCATGGGTTGATGCTTTGCTCACTGATTTGAAGGTGTCACAATGCAAACAGCCAATAATATGGTGTGATAACACCAGTGCAATTGTGTCGAGTGCTAATCCAGTGTACCACTCGCAGTCCATGCATGTAGATCTAGATGTGCACTTTGTTCGGAAAAAGATAGCTGCAAATCAACTATGTGTGAGCTATGTTCCAGCAGCTCATCAAGTTGTTGATGGCTTGAAAAAACCCTTAGCAAAAGCTGCCTTTGGTAGTTTTCGTGACAAGATAAATGTCTGTTTGATTGTTGAAGAAGGGAAGAAGCAGGGATAATGTTGAGAGAATGAGTGATGCAGCTCGTGTGAGAGTGCGTGTGTATGGTGTAGTGTCATGCAACTCACGTATAGCTCGTGCATATCAGAAGCTAGAGAAGGTCTAGAAGCTAGACTGTTGAGTTTGTTAGTCAGTTATAGGGAGTTGTTGCATTGCTGTATAAAACAGTAATATTGCAAACTGTAAAGGTATTCAAGCTATCCAATCAAGAAAGCATTTCCACATGTCTTTTGATCTTTTCTGCTGTATTTCAATATTACCTTACCGTTAGTATTCCTTCTTTCTTGGATTTCTCCCTTTTTTGGAAAATAAATTTGGGTTTTTCAAGTTATTGCAGTTTTAGACACTGCATCTAATATGTGTTAATTATGTTTTTGATTTAGATCATTCATAGACAATTTACTCTATTCCTATTTTTTTTCCTGTAAAGTTAAAACCTAAATGAAAACTTATTAAAAATGTGCAAATTACTGCAATGCATCTCAGCTACCAAAGAATTTACATTAACCAAAAGCTCGTATCCTTTTTTAAATGATTTCTGCATGACAGATTGTTGTTAGCCTAATACAGTGTTAAGTTCTTTGGGTGAAATTTCTGTGTTTCATTCTAAACAGGTATATTGCCTTGAACATCGAAGCTATATTAAACATCACTGTCCAAACCCTGATAAAGTATGATGTTGCCGTTGTCATTTGTCCCTTATGTGCTGAAGGAGTTCGCTTGATTCCAGATGAATATCCAAAGAAACGCATGTTAATACTGAATGTGATCCATCAAATTATGACAAAGTCACAAAGAAGAAAAAAATGCCCAATTCCTGGCTGGCTGCAGGGAAGTCTTCACATTCTCAAACACAATCAAGTGCAGGGATTACACTTAGAGACGAACACATGATTTTACGTTAGGGAACGAACTGAAAATTATAAAATTTCAAGTGCCAACTTGAAATTATTCCATCAAAACAGATTTTCAGTAGAAAATAGATAGAAAAAAATCTAAAATATATGATAATTTTAAATTTTTAGGGGGTGATTGTCCTCTTGCCCTCGCGGTCCATCCTTGATTACACTATACACCATTGCTTATAGCACCGTTTCGGGACCGATCACAAATGTCATGGACTTAAAAGAAACCAGAACTTGGCATTCCATTTATGGGTATTTTAAGCAGGAGTAAAAGAGACAGAAACCAACTAAGCTCCTGCTACATCTTCCTTTAAATGGTCTAGAAGCTTTGTTGATGCGGCTTCAACCGTTGAGCCTCAGCGGAAGCAAGTATGACCAAATCGGGTAGTGAAATCAGTCAAAAGTTGCAAGTTGCAAGGGATAAAGTAATTTTGCCCCTCAAAACTTTTAGAAATTTAGATTAAATTTTAAAAGTTTTAGATATTCTTGATTAAACCTCTTCCCATAATTTTTTTTAAAAAAATTATTAAGTTTCTTAAAATTTCAAAAATTTTAGTTAGATCCTATTTTTTTTGGGAAAAAAATGTAAACTAAACCCTTCAAAAAAAATTTAAAAATTATTTTAAATCTCTAAATTCTTTAAAGTTTTAAATTTACCCCCCAAACTCTATCACCAAGTTATGAATACAAAAATACAATTTTTATGGGAATACATTAAGTTGCTTGTTCTCATTCGAAGCAATTTTTTATTAATTGATATTGCAGTCAATTCCGGATACAAAATTACAAAATAAATCTATGAATGTAGACGATGCATAAACCCTAAACCCCATAGAAGAGAAAGAAAGAAAATCTAAAGGAAGGGAGACCTTCGTGGCACCCCTTTTCTCCTCCTTTCCTAAAAGAATATTCAGGCCACGTTGTTGAAATTGGAACAAAATCTTCCTCCTTTGTTTCCTCCATCACTTCTCTCTCACTACTGACCTATAAAACAAATCATTAAAAACGTTTCTTTTCTTTTTTTTTAATTTTATTTTCCCATAATTAGAAAATTCTATGAAAACTTGAGATAGAGAAACAAAGAGGGTTCTTACTTTGCACTCAATGGAGCAAAACTTTGATGTCGAATACTGAAGTTCATACCCACAAACGTCACACTTTTCACCTTTTCCACCATTAACGCGATTTTCATGCTCTTTCCTCTCTTCCTTTTTAATATAAACAAGCTTTGAGGAATTGCAAGTATAAGGTTGAATATCGGAAACTTCCATCAGATTCCTTATGCTATGAACCCTAAGCCCCGGTCTGCTTTAAGATTTGTAAACCTTTCAAACCAATAATGCTAATAGGAATCATGCACGTTATAATTCTTGTAAAATTTACAAGAAAAGAAAACAACTTACTCGGAGACTTTGATGGCCAACGTGTTTACGAGGATGGTACAAGCATTCTTCACAGAAAGCTGATCCCATGCAATCCCTACAGAAGAAACTGCATTGCTTTGAGCTTTCATATTCACATAGATTGTAAAATTCAGTTAGCAGCAATGGTTTCAGCCATGGTGTAATCACCATTTTTCCTCTTTTTTACTTTTATTATTATATTACAAAAAAATGATAAAACAAAAAAGTAAAAAAGGAGAATATAATCCCTTAATATATGGTGTATTCAATGCCCATGCATGCCCATTCCTGCCACTAATGTTCATTGCTGCCTTCTTTGCCTCATTGCTACATGCACCAACTGTTGGAAATAAAACACTCACACAAACAACTTTTATTGAAACTCAAACAAATATTACAAGAGCACTCTCACTCAAAAACAAGAACTACAACTCACTCTTATAAGACTTTGCTTCTTTACTCACTTAGAAGCTCTTAATTTTTCTTGATGCTTAAAACTAAAATGGGGAGGGGTATTTATACTACTCAAGAATAATCCTACACCACACAAAAAAACTAATTTAAACCATTACAAATTCAACAAATACCTAACTCTCACCTAACTAAATTGATGTAAGCAATGACATCATTACTTAAATGATGTAAGCAATGACATCTTTACTTAAATGATGTAAGCAATGACATCAATTTAGTTTGGGTTTGGGTTTAGGCTCCCATAATGGATCAAGTTTATGATCCAACACCCCCCTTAAACTTGATCTCGTGACCCCTAGTAGGTTCCTTAATCTTATGAAGTCTTCACTTTTCAGTGGCTTGGTAAAAATATCGACAACTTGATCTTGTGACTTCACGTATTAAACTTCCACATCGTTTCTTGCAACACACTCCCTTATATAGTGGTAGCGAATGTCGATGTGCTTGCTTCGATCATGGAATACTGGATTCTTTGATAAGGCAATGGCTGATTTGTTGTCGACACAAACCTTGGTAGGCTCTTCTTGTATCAAACCTATCTCCTTCAATAGATTTCTAAGCCAAATTGCATGACAAACACATGAGGTAGCAGCAACATATTCTGCTTCACAAGTGGACAATGTGACAATCGGTTGTTTCTTTGACATCCATGTGAACACAATATCTCCCATGAAAAATACGAATCCAGTAGTGCTCCTTCGATTATCTATGTATCCACCCCAATCACTGTCGCTATATCCAACAAGCTTGTAATAATTAGAAACTGAATAGAACAAGCCAAAGTCAATTGTACCTTCAAATAGCGAAGAATTCTCTTTGCGACTTTAAAATGGGTGGTTGTTGGAGATTCCATGTAGCGACTAACCAATCCAACTGCGTGAAGAATATCGGGTCTCGTGCAAGTTAGATAGCGTAGACTTCCTACCAAACTTTTGAAGAATGTTGGATCTACACTTTCACCTTCTTCATGTTTGGTCATCTTGATCCCGTATTCTGCCGGTGTTCTTATTGGCTTACAGTTCTCCATCTTGAACTTCTTCAGTATCTCCTTTGCATAGCTTTTCTGTGAAATGAAAATTCCATCATTTTGTTGCTTAACTTCAATGCCAATGTAGTATGCCATGAGCCCCATGTCTGTCATCTCGAATTCTTTCATCATCATATCATTGAATTCATTAAACATGTTTGGGTTGATTCCAGTGAAGATCAAATCGTCCACATAGAGACACACGATCAAAATATCTTCATCTTTGATCTTGATATATAGAGCATGCTCGTAGGGGCATTTGTTGAAGCCATTCTCTTGGAAGTACTTGTCGATTCGGCTATTCCATGCCCTTGGTGCTTGTTTTAGCCCATAAAGAGCCTTCTTCAACTTCAACACCTTGTCTTCATGCCCTTTGACTTCATAGCCTGATGATTGCTGAATGAAAACTTCCTCTTCAAGAACTCCATTTAGGAAGGCGGACTTTACATCCATCTGTTGTATCTTCCACTTGTTTTGAGCTGCCAAAGAAATGATTAGTCTGATAGTCTCTAATCGAGCAACAGGAGCAAATACCTCATCATAGTCAATTCCAGCCTTTTGACTATAGCCTTTAGCAACTAGTCTCGCCTTGTGCCTTTCAATCTCTCCTTTGGCGTTTTGCTTTGTTTTGTACACCCATTTGACACCTATCGCCTTATGTTGTGATACATGCATCACAAGGCTCACATCAAAGGAAAAAGTAATAACTCTTCCAAATGATCCACTCGTCCAAGATTTGGAAAAGAAGATCAGAACAGTAGCAGACTTGAGACGACTTTTTGAATGGGATCCTGATCTTATTTGGTCAACATATCTTCTGGATATACAACCATCTGTCTCTTATCTTTCCAACGGTTCTTGAATCGTATCAATCCGATATCGGGAACTCAAGATATGGCCATTTTACTGAAGACGATGCATGCAGAAAATCCTATACGGGATTTTGTAAATATTACGAATTTTCAATATTTTTATTGATTATTTGTAATATAACTTAATATATGATGATGCATTATCTATTAGGATTAGATTTATTATTTTATTAGGAATTAAGGTTGGGTTAAAATATTATCTTTAGTTATTATTATTTTATTAGGAATTAGAGTTAAAACATGTTTAGTTTATTATTATTTTATTCATTAGTTATTTAGGACCTTTAGAACTCAGCCTCTATATAAAGGAGGCTTCATTCTACTTTGTAAATCAGATTTCTTTGATCAATAATACAACGAGAGTTTGTTTTTGCAAGTGCTGATTGCCTTGTGCCTTCGAAGCTTATTCTCCTGGAGTTCTTTCAAGTTCTTGTGAGGGAGATTAATCTTCACACTCCAATTTGCCTTTTCATCACGACTAGGAGGGTTGGTTAGATCCATTTATCGTGTTTGCCTTTTCATTGCGACTAGGAGAGCTCGATAGGACACTTATCCATCTATTATCCACAAATCCATTCGTACCATCAATCATCTTTATCGTTCACATTCATAAGGGAGATCTTCTGATTTCTTTATTATCTTATTTCATCTTCCGTTTATTTATCTTTTGTTTATTTTATTCTAATCTTATTGCCTTGATTCCAGCACATAAAAGAAACCCTAAAGAATCCTAGCTGCTGCTGCCACCTTCCCCTATTCATCCCCTTTGTTCTTCATCGAGTCTAGAGCTTTCTAGGTTTGATTCTTCAACAAGAGCAACGTTCATCAATCCGCCACTGCTTCCCTATCAATTGGTATCAGAGCTGGGCCGATTCTTGGAGAGAAACAAGCAATCTTGCTTGTTCTTGCACATAAAACCGTCAAGGTACCCCAACGGAGCTAGTTCAAAAACGATTCAGCGTTTCAGGTTCTTTTTATTTAATTTTAATTTAGATTTAAATCCTTCTTGTTAGTTTGTTATTTTTTTTTTCAAAAAAAATAAAAAATAAAAAAAAAGGCAAAAAAAAGAGGGAAAAAAACAAAAAAAAAAGCCAAAAAGCCAAATTTTCAAAAAAAATTGAAAACGAATGTATTTAGGGCTGATTTTATCTATATAGTATATTAATTCTAAGAGTAATCCCCAGTCCATATTTCACCCCAATCGGAGTTCATTGGAGCCTTCAAATACATCATTCAAGTTTCATCGGCAGATTCGGTTTAGAATCTTGTCGAATATCTTGAAAATTTTACAGGAGGAATTTCATGGTGAAAATTTCCAGATTGAAACTTCATATATTGGAGATCATTCACACAAAATATCAGAATTTTTGGAGATCAAGAACAACTTCGAAAAAAGTGATCAAGAAAAAAAGATTATTTGAGGACTCACCGTTCAACATAGTATACTGGATACTACTGAAGGTACTTGGTTCTGAAATTTTACAGGTGGTTTCTTGACGCATCGAAAAACATTCAAGAAATTTTTCATAATTTTTGGACACCAGTAACCCCCTCAAAAACATTTCTCAAGTTGATCCAGCGTTTTCTAGGTTTTCTGGTTTGGTCCCTTTTTCTTTGACTCTTAGTGCTTTAGGTTCTTTTGTTTTTCCTTGTTATTGTTCTTTTGCATTATCTAACACATTATCTTCTTTGTGTTAGTAGGACTAAAGAGTTTGCATACTTCTTCCTTCTTTGCATTCTCGTTCTCTTGGAGTCTAACCTTTGTTTGGCCTCTTAGAGCTTTTAGGTTTTTCTTATCGCCTTTGCTAGTAATCAAACTCCGATACGAACTGTGAAAGACTACTTGGTAAAGTGAGTTTTAAAGAGTACAAGATCGGCTTACTTGCCTCTCGTTGTGTTACTTTCTTGGAGTGACTTGTGAGGTTTCTTGCTTTGTTGAATTTATTTTTATTTTACTTTAAAATTTTCTTTTGAGTGTTATGATTTCAGAATGGGCGACAATAACAACAAGACACTTATGGCTATCTTAGCCACACTTGCCCGACTCACGACTCAAGTTGAAAGATTTGATGAAATCGTGAGAGAACGAAAAGAACCACAACTGGATCTACCAAACCATAATCCAAGACCAAACAATGCTGAACTTTTGGTACCCGAGAAAGAACAACCACGTTTCCAAGCACCCAAACTCTTTACAAAACCAAAGTTCATGATCTCGTCTTCTCTGAAAAAGCCAAGAGATGACAAACCTGACAATGAGAAAGAACGACCAGCAAAGAATGACACACTTCCAGCCCCTAAAGATCAAATTTGTGAGGAGGTAGGGAAATCAAAAAAAAGAAAAAGTTGAGAAAGAGGCAAAAGAAAAAGAGGTCACTAGTTACAAAAGCCAAAAGCATAATGACCCATGGGAGGTGAGTGAACCTAATTGTGAGAAGAAAATAGTGACTCAAAATCTACGTGTGAGCACAAAAGAATTGAGAGAGAACCTTCTTTACAAACAGCCTTTCATCCTTGTTCGCTTTAGAGAATCAATTTTTTCGATTTCTAACATTAACAAGGATTTGCCTAGTGTGTTTTCATCTTTGTTACAGGATTTTCGAGAAGTGTTAGGTGATCCACCTGACGGATTACCACTGGAAAGAGGAAAACAACACCAAACCAATCTAATTCAAGGTTCCATCATACCTCGTCAAACATACAATCTTGAAGAAACCAAAGAGTTAGATTTGTTACAAAAAGGATACATCCATGAAAGCCTTAGTCGTAACGTCATCTTAATGACGAAACATGACTTGAAAAACTCCACATGCTTTATAGTTCGTGCACAGGGAATCCATGTAAATGATGAGAAAGTAAAAGCAACACGAGACTGGCCCACACCATCTTCCATCGCCAAGAGTTGTCGAATAGTGCTAGGTGACC